GCGCCAGGCAACGCGCCGGGATCCATGGGGATTCTATAGCATCCTTTAGGGATTCTATAGCATCGCTTAGGGATTCTGTAGCATCCCTTCGGGATTCAATAGCAGCCCTTGTGGATTCTATAGCATCCTTCAGGGATTCTGTAGCATCCTTCAGGGATTCTATAGCATCCCTTAAGGATTCTATAGCATCCCTTTACGGATTCTAAAGCATCCCTTAACGATTCTATAGCATCCTCTTAGGGATTCTAAAGCATCCTTGTAAGGATTCTATGGCATCCCTCAGGCATTCTCTGGCAGCCCTTAGGGGTTCTATATCATCCCTTAGGGATTCTATAGCAGCCCAGAGGGATTCTATAGCATCCCTGAGGGGTTCTGCAGCCTCACCTGAGGGATTCTACAGCATCCCTTCGGGATTCTATAGCACCCCGTTAAGGACTCTATAGCATCCCTTAGGGATTCTATAGCATCCCTTTGGGATTCTATAGCATCCCTCAGGGGTTCCGCAGCCTCCCCTTAGGGTTTCAATGGCAGGCCCAAGGGATTCTATGGCAGCCCTTAAGGATTCGATGGCAACCATTAGGGATTCTACAGCATCCCTTAGGGCTCTGCAGCCTCCCCTTAATGATTCTATAGCATCCCTTGGGGATTATATAGCATCCCTTAGGGATTCTATAGCATCCCTTAGGGTTTCTGTAGCATCCCTCAGGGATTCTATAGCATCCCTTAGGGCTATAGCATCCCTTAGGGATTCTATGGCAGCCCTAAGGGATTCCATGGGAATCCTAAGGGATTTTATGGCAGCCCTTAGGGACTCTATAGCATCCCTGAGGGGTTCTGTAGCATCCATTGGGGATTCTATAGCATCCCTTAGGGAATCTATAGCATCCCTTGAAAGGTTCTGCAGCCTCCCTTTAGGGATTCCATAGCATCCCTTAGGGGTTTCTGCAGCCTCCCCTCAGGGATTCTGTAGCATCCCATTAAGGGTTCTGCAGCCTCCCCCTAGGGATTCTGCAGCATCCCTTCGGGATTCCATAGCATCCTTTAGGGATTCCATAGCATCCCTTAGGGATTCCATAGCCTCCCTGAGAAATTCTGTAGCAGACCTCAGGGATTCTGTAGGATCCCTTAGGGATTCTATAGCAGCCCTTTAGGATTCTATAGCACTCCTTCGGGATTCTATAGTATCCCTGAGGGTTTCTGCAGCCTTTTCTTAGGGATTCTATCGCATCCCTTGAGGATTCTATAGCATGCCCGAAGGTTTCGGTTCGGGGGAGCGCACATAGTTTCAGCTCGTGGGAATGCGTCGGATTTCTTAAGGATCCCGAAGGATCCCAGAGGATTTTCCAACGGTTTCCTGTTTCTGTTGCCAACCATATGTTGCGTTGCGATGCGTTGCGTTGCGTTGCCGGGGGGTGAGGGGCCGGGTCCACCAGTGAGATGTTTCGCCACAAGGACCGAAACAGCGAGCTGGCGGACCCTCGCTGGGTCCACCAGCCGGTTGTTTTGCCTCTTTGTTGTTGTTGTTGTTGTTGGTGGTGGTTGTTGGTTGTTGGTTGTTGGTTGTTGGTTGTTGGTTGTTGGTTGTTGGTTGTTGGTTGTTTGTTGTTTGTTGTTGTTGCTGCTGCTTTTGTGGTTGTTGTTGTTTTTTTTGCTGCTGCTGTTGCTGTTGCTGTTGCTGTTGCTGTTGTTGTTGTTGTTGTTGTTGTTGTTGTTGTTGTTGTTGTTGTCGTGGGTGTGGTTGTGGTTGTGGTTGTGGTTGTGGTTTTGATTGTGTTTGTGGTTGTGGTTGAGATTGCGGTTGTGGTTGTGGTTGTGGTTGTGATTTTGGTTGTTGTTATTGTTGTTTTTGTTGTTGTTGTTGTTGTTGTTGTTGTTGGTATTGCTGCTGTTGATACTTGAATGTTTTTATTGCTTTTACGTTTTTCCCATCTTCTTAAATGTGGGTCCCGGGAGGTCTGGACCCCTTCCCCGGGCCTGGTTCTCATCTGAGCATGTTGTGCACGGTGCAGGGGCGTGGAACGGGGTCCCCAGGGGTGGAACACAGATTTGGCTGTGTTTGTGTTTGTGTTTGTGTTTGTGTTTGTGTGTGTGTGTTTCACGACGCGAGGGGGTCTCGGCCCCTCTTTATTCCCTCTTCCTCGGAGCAGGGGGGGGGATGACATCCGTTTTTGTTTGACAACGCCGAGATCCGCATACCTTCATTTCTTCTCTAGTGTTTTGCTTTCGGAGCTTCGGAATATGAATGAGTCTGGCTGTGAGGGAGTCTGAGTGTGAGCGGCTGAGTACGAGTTGATTCGAACCAGACTGAGAGGACGAGTGACTCTGAGTATGATAGAATCTGGATGTGAACGAGTCTGAGTCTGAGTGGGTCTGGGTAAGAAGGATTGGATATGTGTGATTTTGAGTGCAAGGGGATCTGAGTATGAGTGCGCTTGGCTAGGAATGACCAGGCAAGCGTGGGTCTTGGCATGGGTGGGTGTGGGTGTGAACGGGTATCAGTGCGCGTGCGAACTAGTCTTAGCAGTTGGGTATGCTTGGGTTTGTCAGTGAATGAGTATGAATATCTGTGACGAGACGTGGGGAAGTCTGACATCGAGCGGGCTTGACGGTGAGTTCGTCTGAGCATGAGTGGCTCCTAGCACCAGTGAGGAGTTCCTGGGACCTCCTAGGGCCTGGTGGAGATTGTGCTGGAGCCTCTTGGGGCTTCTTGGGGTGGGGCCTCCCGGAGCTCGTGGTCTCCGCGAGCGCCCAGTCTCCTCCTTTTCCTCCTCCTCCTCCTCCTTCTCCTCCTCCCCGTCGCCGTCGTTGCTCCACCCCTGGCGGCTCGAGTGCGCTGCCTGCCGCATCGCGCTTATCATGGGCTCTGAATCGAGACTCAGCAGCTTCCCAACTGGGTCCCCAAGCCGGCGCTCTACTGGAGAGGTCCCACCAGTCTGTGCTCGAACTGGCTCGTGGAGCGCCCGTGGAATACCGCCCTTCGGGAAGCCCGAGTGCGACGTCTGCTACATCGCGGTCAAGATGGGGCTGAACAGAGATTCAAGAGTGAGTCTGAGCGCGAGTGATTCTTAGTAACAGTGATACTGAATGTGACTGGGTCTGAGTATGAGTGAGTCTGAGAATGGGCGTGTCAGAATGTGAGCGAGTCTGAGACTCGTTGAGTTTGAGTGTGACTAGAAGTGAGACGCAGTGCCATCGGGCCTGAATGTGAGTGAGGCCGTGTGTGAGCGAATCTGGGCATGAGTCAGTGTGAGTGCTGTGAGCAGCCGGGTGCGAGTGACTCTGGCCATCGATAGAGGAGGGCGGCGGGCTGGTCAGGGGTTGTGGCGGAGGGTCCCCCGTGATAGACATCACCCTTGGCGGAAGTCCCCAGAGATGATGCTACGTGTCATGATGATTCGAGTAGGGCATCGACTACAGAACCGATTTGCTCCAGAATCGTTTTGTCCGTCGAGTCCACGAGACAGGCGCAGAAGGTTCGTGGATCCACGAATTTTCTACGCCTGCCTCGACAGGGGAATTCACTTCGGGGTAAATCAATTCTGTAGTCGATCCCTTTCTCGGATGACCCAGGCCCCCGACGTCGTGATTTTTTCATGACGTCGACCCCCAGAGGTCTCGACCCCTTCCCAGGGACTGGTTTTTCATCCCGAGTCGTTTTTGGACGGTCTCGAGGCCCAGCGAGGCCCCCTGGAGGCCGAAACTGACGAAATGCCTCCTATCGCGATTCTTTCATGGCGCGAGGAGGTCTGGGAGCGAAGCTCGGCAGAGGGGGGTATGGGGGAGGGGGGAAGGCTTCTTGGAAGCACCCCTGCTTCTTCGAAGGCGCCGGCCTTGCATCTACAGACAAACCTGCGCCTTCTAAGAAGCAGGGGTGCTTCTGAGAAGCCTTCCCCCCTCTCCCTACCCCCCTACGCGCGCCGTCAACCCTCAGATCCGACGTTGCCATTAAAAATGCAACATCGTAAAATTCTTGACGCTGCTGCCTTGAGGCCTCTTGGAGGTCTGTCGGAGACTATCTTGAGCCATGCTTGGCTATCTTAGGCCATTTTGAAAACCATATTTGCCTATCTAGGGCTCTCTCGGAGCCATATTGGGCCAAACAGGGCTGGGTGGAGGGTCTTTGGGGAGAGGCTGGGAGGCCTCTTGGGGTCATCTTGGGCCCCATGGCTCAAAAAGAGGAGGTCCCTCAATTATCATCGCCCCCTCGGAGGCTCTCAAACGGCATCTTGGGGCTCTCTTGGAGCGCTCTTGGGCGATCTTGGGTCCGTCTTCGGCCTTCTTGGGCCCCTCTTGGGCCTCTTTTGGGCCATCTTGGGGCCATCTTGAGGCTTCCAAAGCCCATCGGAAGCGAAGAGGCGATAATGCCAAAAACATTGATTTTCCCTAGGCTTTTGAAGGGTGTTGGCATCTTGGAGGGCGCCGCGGAGGGCTCGGAGGGCACTTGGATCCGTCTTGGGGCTGCCTTGGGGCCTCTTGGGGGTATGTCGGAGGCTATCTTGACCCATCTTGAAGTAGCATGGGCCGTCTTGGAGGCCATCTTGCGACTTTGAAGCCCTCTTGGAGCCTTCTTGGGCCATCTTGGACGCTGCGGTGCCTCTGCCCCCCCCTCCCAGGCCCAGGGGAGGGGGTAGGTGGAGGGGTAGAGAGAAGAAAAAAACGCGTTATACCACCTAAGCCCAGAGGGCTGGTGGGATTCACCACAAGAGCCCCGGACCCCACCTTTCTGCGTCCTTTTTCGAGCCAGATCGATCTGTGAGGGTCCCGGGGCCCGAAATAGCGAAAACGCCCGTAGCGCAAAAATTGCAATGCCAGGATCTCAGGGAAGAAGCGCATGCAGCGCAGGCCTCCTTCTCTGTCGGAAGTCGTTGGACTGCGCTGCTGCTGCTGCTGCTGCTCCTCCTCCTCCTCCTCCTCCTCCTCCTCCTCCTCTCTTCCTCCTCCTCCTCCTCCTCTCCTCCTCCTCCTCCTCCTCCACCTCCTCCTCCTCCCGTCCTCCTCCTCCTCCTCCTCCTCCTCCTCCTCCTCCTCCTCCTCCCCATCTGCGCGCCGCCGAGAAGCGCATGTAGCACAGGACAACGTCCTCCGAGAGAGCCTCGAGGAGCCGTGGGCCCCCAGGAGGCCTCGCCGCGGGCCGGGCCGCCGCCGCCGCTGCGGGAGGCCCCCGCCCGCGCCCCGCGTTCGGCGGGAGCAGCTGCGGAGGGAGCTGGGCGAAGGATCAGCGGCGATAAGTCCTTCTCAGGAGGAGGAGGAGGAGGAGGAGGAGGAGGAGGAGGAGGAGGAGGGGGAGGAGGAGGAGGAGGAGGAGGAGGCGGAGGAGGAGGGGGGTGGAAGTGAGAAGGAGAAGGCCTTCTCAGGAGGAGGAGGAGGAGGAGGAGGAGGAGGAGGAAAGAGGGAGCGAATGATCGAGTTCGGTAGCAAAGCATGGGAGTCCCACATCATGGGAGCGTTGCATACCCTCGCAATTCTGGCTGTAGCGATGATCGAGGGAAGAGATAACCGTGGCCATGACTCACCCGCGGTGAGCAAGGGGGGAAGTGAGAAGGAGAAGCCCCTTTCAGCAGGCGGCGGGGCTTCTCAGAAGGCCTCCAGCCTTCTGAGAGGTTTTCTGTGTCTTCGGGGAGGGCTTGGAAAACTTCTCAGAAGGCCGGGGGACTTCGAGCCTTCTGAGAAGGCCCGCCCCTTCTCACTCCCCCCTGGGCTCGCCGCCGATATGACCAAGGTGTCGCAGGATCTTGGTTGTGGTTCATGTCGGCCGTCGCCGATTCGCGAGGATGATTCACGAGATGGCGCTGACCAAGATCGTCAGTGACCACAAGATCGTCTTCTCCCCCTTCAGGTGAGGAGAGGAGGAAGAAGGAGGAGAAGGATCGTGAACGTTTTGATGGCCCCTTGGGGCCCTCTTGGCGCCTCCTGGGGGCCTGCCGGGGGACTCCTTGGGGGAGGGGAGCCCCCCAAAGGCCTGGAGCCCCCCACTCCCCTCCCCGACACGCCCCATAAACTTTGGACACCTTCTTTCATTGTTTTCGTGGAGTCGTCCCGAACTCTCAGACCAGTCTCCTGGGAGGCATGGTGGAGCGATCTTGGGGCCCTTGTGGGGCTATTCCGGGATTTTCGAGACCCTTTTGGGCGTCTTTTGGAGCTCTCTTCGAAGTCTTTCTGGCCCCGCCCCGTAGGGGCCGTTTTGGACGACGTCGGTCAAAAAAGGAAGGTCCTGATCTCAGAGAGTTTTTTCTTGCGGCCGCTTGGCGGCCCCCTCTTCCCGCAGGGTCCTGGGGGCCACAAGGATTGGACGATGGGGAACCCTGTTCTCCCAATCAAGAGGGGGGCGAGGCAGAGACCGCCCCCCCCGCCTCTCGCGCTGGAGGTTGATGATGGTGGGTGGGTGGGTGGGAAGGAGGATCATGATGAGGGGGAGGGGAAGCAGCAAGATGAGAGGGGAGGCGGAGTCGGAGGGGAAGAAGGAGAAGGAGGAGGAGGACAAGGAGGAGGAGGAGGAGGCGGAGGAAGGAACAGTGTACATATGATGATGTGGGTTATGGCGATGGCGATGATGATGATGATGATGATGATGATGATGATGATGATGATGATGATGATGATGATGATGGTGGTTCTGATGGTGATGATCGTGGTGGTGATGATGATGCTGATGCTGCTGATGATGACGATGATGCTGGTGGTCATGATGCTGCTGCTGATGATGACGACGATGAGTATGATAATGCTGATGCTGATGATGATGATGCTGTTGATGGTTACGCTAATGACTATGATGATGCCAGCGATGGTGCTGCTGCTGATGATGCTGATACTCACGACGCTGACGATGCTGGTGATGCTGATGATAATCACGATGCTGATGATGGTTACACTGATTATGATGATGTTGATGATGATGACGATGATGATGGTGGTGATGATGATAAGGAGGCTGATGCTGATCCTGATGCTGATGAGGATGCTGATGCTGATGCTGCTGAGGATGATGACGATGCTGATGACGATGCTGTAGCTGATGATGATGAGGATGCTGACGATAATGCTGCTGCTGCGGCTGATGATGCTGATGATGATGATGCTGATGCTGATGATGATGATGAGGGCAATGACGCTGTTGATGACGGAGACGATCATTACGACGAAGATGAGGCTGAGTATGGGGTGGTTGATGTTGATTATGGTGACGGTGATAAGGATGATGCGGACGAGGATTATGGAGCTGCTGCTGATGAGGATGATGATGATCATGCTGTTGATGATGAAGTCGATGGCGATGCTAAGGTTGATGACGAAGCTGATCATTACGTCGACGACGACCACGGGACTCATTGTGGGGTTGTTGAGGTTGATGATGGTGGCGGGGACAATTATGATGACGACGATGATGCTGATGAACATGATGACCATGATGATGATGATGATGATGATGATGATGATACTGATGATGGGTGATGATGAGGATGATGACGATGATGACGACGACGACGACGACGACGATGATGATGATGATGATGATGATGATGATGATAATGATGATGATGATTGTTATGATCGTGATGATGATACTGATGATGATGATCATGGTGATGATCATGATGAGGGTAATTGTGGTTATGATGATGAGGATGGTTGTGATTCTATCTGGGGAGTTGCAGAAAGCGCGAGGACGAGGATTTATGGTGAGGAGGAGGCTTGGCGCGGCCGACGCCGGCGATGAGGAGGAGGAGGAGGACGCGGATTGGTATTATGATGTTGATGCTGATGATGATGATGCTGATGATGATGATGCTTATGATAATGATGCTGCTGCTGATGATGATTATGAGGGTGATGATGATGATGATGATGATGATGATGATGATGATGATGACCATGATGATGATGATGATGATGATGATGATGATGATGATGATGAAGAAGAAGACGATGACGATGATGTTGCTGATCAAGATGATGACGATGATGATGCTGCTGCTGATGATGATGATGACGGTGCTGCTGTTGATGATGTTGTTGATGCTTCTGCTTCTGCTATTGATGTTGATGCTGATGCTGATGCTGGTGCTGCTGCTGATGATAACGCTGCTGCTGATGATGAAGATGATGATGATGATGATGATGATGCTGATGATGATGATGATGATGATGATGATGATGATGGTAGTGGTGGTGGTGGTGGTGGTGGTGCTGCTGCTGCTGCTGATGATGATGATGACGATGATGATGATGATGATGGTGATGATGATGATGATGATGATGATGATGATGATGATGATTCTGCTGATGATGATGGTGGTGGTGGTGATGATGATGATAATGCTGCTGCTGCTGATGATGATGACGATGATGATGATGAGCCTGATGAGGACAATGGTGGTCATGATGATATGAATGGTGGTGATCACGAGGAGTTGCAGAAAGAGCGCTGACGTGGATTTTGGCGCCGCCGACGCAGGCCGCCAGCGCTAGCGAGGGCGCGCCGCAGCCTGGGCGGCGGGGGCCGCAGCCAGCGCAGGCCGGCGTGCAGGCCGGCGCGCAGGCCAGCGCGCTGGAGGCCTGGAGCGCGAGCGGCGTGGAGTGGGCCGCGGCGTGCGCCTGCGGACAGGCGCTCCCTCGCTGGCCCTCCTGCTGCTCTTCCTCCTCCGCCTCCTCCCCCTCCTCCTTCTCCTTCTCCTCCTCCGCCTCCTCCCCCTTCTCCTCCTCCTCCTCCTCCTCCTCGATCCTCCTCCCCCTCCTCCTCCTCGATCCTCCTCCTCCTCCTCGATCCTCCTCCTCCTCCTCGATCCTCCTCCTCGATCCTCCTCCTCCTCCTCCTACTCGAACGGGACCTTCTCACACTGCCTCTCTTGCCACTTGCCTTAGTGTTCTCCCCCGTCCGCTGCCGCTTGTGCTCTGGGGCCCGGGAGGATATCCGCCCGTGTGCGTAGTATACACATTTGACACACTCGTTATATACACATCCGGCATTTAAAGCAGCGCTTGCCTCACCTGATCTTCTACTTCTAGCTGGTGGCGGAGCTTCGGCTTCCTTCCACGCGCCGCCATGGCGCCTGCTAGCTGCCCCGCTTCGAAAGCGATGCCTCTCCCTCTCTCCATCGTCTTATGCAGGGATTTCAAGGACGGCGCCTACATGGGAATCGTCTTATTCCTGTCTTCATGCTTTCAGACCTGTTCACAGCGGCCAGCGGCGCCTCGCCCGCCCAGCCGCCAGGTTTGACTCCAAGGAAGGAGCACAACTACCAGTACAAAAACTGCTAGCAGAAGGATCGCGCGCCCACCACGCCGGCACTTCCCCCTGGGCGAGTTCGAACTATGTTCGAGCAGCTCGCGGACCCAACGCCAGACATGCATAAGCGACGACGTCAATCAATTGTTTTTTACAGTGCTCATGTCTACAGCGTTGGCGAAGGGCTCGGAGCTGCCTGCGACTGTGTTTCAGGAGTCCGGGGGGGGAGGCCACGGACACAACGACTCCATTGGATCCGCCTGTGGGTGTAGCCGCGGGTGTCAGACAGCCGATTGATCCGACGTTCACATCAACGGTTTCGGGGGAGAGTCCCGAGATATCTGCGACTGTGTTGCACAAGCCGTTGATGGCACAAGCAGGCAAGAACGAGAAAATATGTTGTCGGCCCGCCGGGGGACCAAGCAACGTATCTGGGAACATCCGTTTTCAATTCCGTGGAGCTGGACCTTCCACATTGCTCGCGTAATGCTACCGGGCAGACCTGGATCCCGATGCGGACTCCTCTTGATGATGCTACGGTTGGTGGTGCCCAGTACAGTGACAACGCGACGCGCGACGAGTGCTCCTACAGTTATGTTCTGAGGTGATCCGAGTGCCGTTTGCCCGCCGACCGCGCGACAGAAATAAATATTGCAGCCGCAGGACGCATCAAAAACATTTAAACCGGTGAACCGATAAACCGATCAGCGACACTTGCAACATGAAGGCCGAGCCCGTGACGAAGGGTAGCGTCGGCCGCGAGTTTATGCTCGATATCGTTGACGGGGACCCCAGTTACGATCACAACGCGGTCAGGCTGAGTAAGGAAAGGCACACGATGAGAGCGCCGAGTTCCCCTTGCAGCGAACTTGCCAATGAGAAGGGCGACCACTGCGACTGACTGGGCGGTTCTCCCCGCATTGCGGACAACGTCGGGCTTGGAAGATGCAGAGGCTCGCGTTTCGCGAATTGCGCTCGCGAGTGCGACCCGGCAGGCGCGCTAAGTGAGCGGTTTGCATGCGCGAGCTATGTTCGTGTTGCAGCAGGTTTCAGACAGTAAAACATGCAAGTGAGTGATTGCGTGCTCCATCCAATGACCTGCAGCTTCGCAATCTATGAAGGACCTGGTATAAGTCTCTTTCGCCAACGCAGTTTTATAATAGGGACCTGATCAGTAGAATGTCTTCTGTGCCTGGCAAGCCCCTTTGTTTCGCTGGCTTGAGTGTGGCTTGCGCACCTGAGCCGGCGAGGCACGAGCAGTCTCGTTTGAGCACCGTTTTCGAACGGGACCTTGTCACGCTGCTTCTGTTGCCAGTTGCTCTGCTGTTCTCCGCGCCCCCTGCCGTTTGTGCTCTGGGGCCCGGGGGGGGAACATCCAGTGCCCGTCTTATACACGCTTGGCACACCCGTTCGTTTTACATACGGTAGTGAAAACAGCGCCTTTGCATCCTGATCTTTTACTTATATTATCCTCCCTTCTCCTCTCCTCCTCAGCTCCTCCTCCCTCCCCTGCTGCTGCTGCTGCTGCTGCTGCTGCTGCTGCTGCTCGTTCTTTTTGCTCCTCGTCCTCCCCCTCCTCTCTTTCCCCCTCCTGCTCCTACTGCCCCTCCTCCTCCTTCTCCTATTCCTCCTCCTCCTCTGCTTCGTTTTCCCCTCCGAGCCTTCTTCTCCTGCCCCCTCTGAGAGTCGGCCTCCCGACCTCCATTTTAATGCGCGTCTTGGCCCGGTTTTCCGCCGTTTTCGTTGGCCCCGGGATTGTCGAACAAAAAATGAGGACGAACAACTGGTTCTGTCGGGTCCAATTCGGGATCGTATGTTCTGGCGTATTTCGTGCTGCCAGCAGTGGCATCCGCTGCTCGCGGGGGCGCCCATACAGGGGCGGGCCTTTGCCGTTTGCGTTTGCTTCGCCCCTCCTTCTCTTCGGGCCCGCCGCTCGGGGGGCAGGGCAATCCAGATTCCAGATACCTTCGAGCCTCCAACGCCGGCCTTCCTTCGAGAGTCGGCCCCAAGGTTTCTCCTGGAACGCGCCCTGGCCAAGATTCCGAGGAGGAACCAGCCTTCTCCGCTGTTCTCGGTCTCCCAGGGCCCTCGCGGGCCCATGGAGTGTCGAATAACGACGCAGGACGACAAGGTAGTTTTGTGGGAAATCCCCAGGTTCCAGGAGCCGTTTCCCTAATGACCCGCTAGTTGCCTTCCGTTCTTGGTGCCTCCCCCTGCCCCTTCATCCCGAGGGGCAGCAGCGGCCATTCTTCTTAGACCGCGGGCGGGTGGACTCGCACAGCCAGGGCGCATTCCAACCCCTCCTCCCGCCCTCCTGCTCCTTCCTCTTGCGCGCTTCTCCCCCCTTCCCCCCTTGCCCGTTCCCCCCTTGCCCTGCCACAGATCGTCCTTTCTGACGCTCCTCCCTGCTCCCTGCTCCCTCTTCTCTCCTCCCTTCCTCCCGTCCCTCCCGCATCCTCCCCTGCTGCTGCCACTCTTCCCCCCCCCCTCCCCCAATCGACGCCCCGCTTGACGCAACAGTGCCAGTAGGCAACCCCTCCTCCTGCTTCCTCTCCCGTTTCCTTCTCCTTCTCTCCCCGTTCCCCCCCACCCCCTCCTTCCTACTGCTTCCTGCTCCTCCCTCCCTCCCTCCCTCCCTCCCTCCTTCTCTTCCATCTTTCTGCCACCCTTTCAACTCTTCTCCCCTCCGTGATCGTTCCTCCTCCTCCTCCGCCCCTCCTCCTCCCCTCCTCCTCCCCTCCCTCCTCCTCCCCCCCCCCTCCCTCCTCCCCCTCCTCCCCTTCTCTTCCCCCTCCTCTTCCTCCTTCCGTTCCATTCTGCCTCCTATCTGCGTCTTCGTCCCTCAGGACTGTGCTGCTACTGTCGCTGCTGCTACTGCTGCTCCTTCTCCTTCTCCTCCTCCTCCGCCTCTTCCTCTTCCCCTGCTCCTAGGCATTCCCGGACGAGGCGCGCTTCTGCATCCAGTGCGGCTCGAAGAGGCAGTGGAGGCAGCCGGCAATACACTGTGGGGAATGCAGGAGTTTCTTCCCTCCTTCCCCCCTCCTTTTCCTTTTTCCTCTCAGCCGTTCGTCCTCCTGCTCGTGTATCCTTTTCCATCATCTGTTCTTTTTCCTTCTCCTCCTCCTCCTCCTCCTCCTCTTCTTCCGTCCATCTTCTCCCGCTCGCCCTCCTCCCCCCCTCCCCCCTCCTCCCCTCCCCTCCATCCCCTCCTCGACCCCCTCCCTTCTCCCCCCTCCCCATTGTCCTACTTATCATTCTGCCGCCGGTAGACACTCGGGGGTGGCGAGGCCCCCTTTCTCGGCCAACGAAGTAGGCCGTGTGGGGGCTGGGTTGGCCAAACATACCTTCACCAACTCCCATACCTATCATGACGGCTCCCATTTGCGTCCAAGTAGTTTTCTTCCTTCCCCCAATCCCTCCAGCCTCCTTCCTCCCTCCTCCTCCTCCTCCTCCTCCTCGTCCTCCTCCGTCCATCCTCCCTCCCACATCCTCGACCCCCTCCCTCTTCCCTCCCCCCTCCTTCTGGATTCCTGTTCGCCCGCCTCTTCCCAGGACCGCCTACGATCCCGGCGACCTCTTCTGCAGATCCTGCGGGGCAGGCCGCTCCAGCTCGGGAGGACGAGCTCGCCCACTGCGAGGGAGAAGGTGGAGGAGGATTGAGGAGGATTGAGGAGGAGCAGGAGCAGGAGCCGGAGGAGGAGGAGGAGGAGGAGGAGGAGGAGGAGGAGGAGGA